ATGCTTGTCTTCGCTTCCTAATTCCGTTTTTCATCGCAACTGTACTGGACTCAAGTTTCGACCTCACAACGATGAAACTCAAGTTATTCTACCCATTTAATGGTGTGCACTAACAAAATTCACTCCTCCATCCAATAATACACGCCAGATAATGGCTGATTTTTACTTGAAATGTGTCAAAACAAACTTGGCCTCAAATTAAATGGCATCTTCATCTCTTCCTTCTAACATCAGCTCAAGTGACTTTGGCCAATTCAAGTACTCACCAAATCAAGATAAAACCAAATAAAGTATCTCCTTCAGAAGCAAAACAGGCCAACACTCCAAAGCAATCCTCATTCGCGTCCCGATGGGTCCAATTCAAGAAGCCATTTTTAGCCAATTTTGCATCAAACTCAAAAGTTCACTCAAAAAGGGGCTCTTTGAAGCCGACCGTTTTTTACAAACGGCTGAGGTTATGCCTCCAGCCGCCATCGCAACACTCGATGGATTTTTGGTAGATAAAACATCCCGATTGTCAAGCCGTCATTACGATTGTGCGCCATCCTATCTGCGTTTCCATGCCGAGTACAGCTGAATGAGACACAGCATTTGGCTTAAGTATCAAAGTTTTATTGAAAAATCATCAAAACACTACTTCACACGCACTTTCGACCGCTGGTACAGGAACACCTTCAATCTTTTGGTACCTTAACTTTGTCCGGATCCTGAATGTCCTTTTCTGGGGTTTTGGTGGTCGTCGTGGTCGTGGTTTCCGTAGGGCAATCGCAGGCGCACGGGCACATGTGGTTGGGTCTGAAGTATTGGCAGCCCGGATGCCATGACGCCCAGCCGGTGCCTAAGTTCCAGTAGTCCGGCTTGCCGGCACGCTGACCGAATTGGCGCCACAAGTCGCGGTGTAATTCTAAACCGAAAGGATCGAAGGGCACGCCGCCTGTGCTCCAGTCGGACTTGTGCCGAGGGTAGGCCTGTGCTGTAGCGGGAAGGAATGCGAATAAAGTACAATTAATACCATTGCATACAGACGTTAACACATGTACATAAGAACACACACACACACACACTCAAAGATAGGTTTTCTGATTAATATGAAATGAAGCTGACCAAAACATTTTATTTTTTGGTGTTTATCTAAATCTCTATATTTTAGTTTTTACTTGTGAATAATATATAGCATGTAGGATAGAGCGACATAAACTTCCTGATTTGAAACGTTAGCAAGAAGCATTTCAGCTATGATCATGTCTAACATTTGATGAACGAAAATGTGGTCGGGTTCCACACGAAACTAATGAGGACGGCGTCACTGAGAAGGTCAAGCGGCTGCAGAACAACTGAAATCGGCCGTCGTCTTCCGGTGAGATCAACCGAGGAATCTATTGAATATTTATTTTCATACTAAATAAAGGTCTTATAACAGGCTCAAATTTTTCACAGTTATATGCATAGCATATGACAACTATTAAATTGGAAAGATAGCCTTTCTAAACTTTTCTGTAGGTCCTTTTACGCCAAATCGTTTTCTGGTGCTATACGCAACCAACAAATTTTGTCACACAAGCAAAGTCCGTCTTATCTGTCGGGTCTAATGGGAAAAAAAATTAAATTCCAATTAGCACGTCCTTCAATGGTCTAGTAAGAGCAAGCATCAAGGTGGAGAACTGCATTTACTATTTTGGCCGAATCGGCTACTCACGAGATATGAGTAGTATATGAATAGTATTTATCCTATTTCGTTTAATGTAATGAGTAGACATGATATTTCCATTTAT